ATGACCAAGGACTCAACAGAAAACGATTTCTTTACTTTTGCTAGCAATGCGGCATAACCAAAGTTGTATACGAAGAACTAGAGGATGAGGTGAATCAAATTTTTAAATAGCTTGCAAAGCACTAAAGGAGTCTGAGACGATTACAAACTTTGAAGTAGGCATAGATGCAATATAGATAATTGCAATGAGAATGGCATACAATTCAGTTGTAAAAATGTTTGCCGAGTCTAATAAATGACCTCGCATTACAATGTCAGGAAACGCTGCTGCAAACCCAGCACCATCAGAAGATTTAGAACCATCGGTGTACACTGCAACAGCATGAGAATGCGATAGGCAGTAATTAAGAAAAAGAGAGTGAGAAGCAACTGTAAGGATTTGAACTTTCATGCACGGCAGTGGGGAAGAACAGACACTGTCAGAACTTCCCAAGGGGTAAGTGAAAAGTTAGACGGTAGATGAACATATAAAGGGGACAAATGAAGAGAAGACAAGAGCGATTGAAGACAAAGAGAAAAAGGGCAGAGTAAACGGGCGGCGAACAAATGATGGACTTCTGCTAACGTTTGTTACTATCCTGTATGTAGAAAGATCGTGAAAGTCATGAGAGTGGAAAAATTGTTGGGGGCAATGAGCATCACGACGATCATTCAAGGATGGGACATTTGCTTCTGCATAGAGGCTCTCGACAAGTGAGAAGCAAAAAGCACCTAGGCATAAACGTAATCCCTGATGATGGATGGTATCGAATTTAGAAAGAGTTGCTGAAGAGGCTGCAGAGTATATCCCCTCAAGGAAGGTTCCTTGATGTTGGTGAGGGGCTCTTGATTTAGGGAATTGGATCTGTGCTCCAGTTCCCCAAATTAAGCCTGAATGCATTCCACATCCCCCCCCAGGCGCTGTATAATCCTCCGGGTTTAGCGCTTCCCCCTTGATTGTAATAATAATAATGCAGAGTATATCTGGTCACCATAATCTAGCTTTGATAAAATTAGGACTGAATGCAGTTGAAGGAGGGTTCGATGATCTGCCCCCTACGAAAGATGAGCAAGGATTTTAAAGAGGTTTAGCTGGCTATGGCAAATTACTTTTACGGAGGTACTGTGAGGTTTACAAGACAACAGGCGATCAAACAGTAGGCCAAGAAATCTGACCGTATCACATTTAGGGATTCGTGAGCCATACAGGTGCACTGGAGTATTAGGGACGATTGAACATCTGGTGAACTTGTTTTAGCTCTAGAAAATTTAAGCCCATGATTAGTGGCCCAATGGGAAACACTGCTGACAGCATTCTGGAGTGAGGCTGTTACTAGGCGACAGTCAGCGCCTGCAGGAGCTATAGCGAAATCATCAACATAGGGTGATGATCAAATATTAGATGGGAGAACAGATGTCAAATCATTTATAGCAAGGAGAAATTATTATTATTATATTATAATCAAGGGGGAAGCGCTAAACCCGGAGGATTATACAGCGCCTGGGGGGGGATGTGGAAGGCATTCAGGCTTAATTCGGGGAACTGGAGCACAGATCCAATTCCCTAAATCAAGAGCCCCTCACCAACATCAAGGAACCTTCCTTGAGGGAAGAAAGGAGAAAAATGGTGGTGCTAAGACACATCCCTAAGGAACACCTTCAGCTTGCACAAAGTCCAGGGAAAGTAAATTATTAACCCGAACATGGAAATGTTTTTCAGCTAAAAAGTTTGCAAGAAAACATGGTAGTCAATAGTAGGGCGGCCCTTACGAAAGCCATATTGATGGGGGGAGAGACTATTGTGTGTCTCTAAATACCACATCAAACGTCTATTTACCAGACATTCCATCACCTTGCAAACTACACTTTTAAGAGCAATGGGACGGTAGTGTGAGGCATCATGTCCTGAAGTGCATGGTTTACGAAAAGGTTGAACTAGGGCAGATTTCCATAGCTGGGGAAGAACTCCTTGCGACCAAATAAGATTGAAGAGACATAAGAGAACTGTAAGGGCTGACGGGTGCAAATGCCGAAGCATGCGAATGTGAATGCCATCAGACCCAGCTGTAGATGATCGGCAAGCGGAAAGTGTGGACTCTAGTTCTAGATACGGTGCCCCATGGCACCGTATCTAGAACTATACCGTATCTAATGCTCTCGCTTCACATGGCGAAGTCTGGGTTCGATTCCCAGCCAGGGTAGAAACATTGGACGTGTTTCTTTACACCGGTTGTCTATGTTCCCCATCAGTAAAATGGGTACCTGAGTGTTAGTCGACTGGTGTGGGTCGCATCCTGGGACAAAACTGACCTAATTTGTCCGAAATGCTCTGCATAACAAGCGGCTTTCTGTATAGTAGTGTGTCATTGATGTCAGCTAGGCCTGCACACCTTGTACATGTACTTGTAGATATAAAGATATATTATTATCATTAGTGTGAAAGGTATATTATAGGGCTCTTCTCTGCTAGAAGAAAAGTCTAAGGGCAGTAACTCTCTGGCAGGCTTGGAGGAAAGAAACGAGGGGCGTAGATGGAGCCCGTTCGAGATAGACGATTTCCGATTTCTGTGGCAGTGTCAGGAGGGTTTGCAACTCTGACACCGGCAACCTGGAGAATGGTAGCAGGGTCTGGAGAGAAGTTTCCATTCAGTTTCTACACTTTTTTCCAAACTGCACTCATTGAGGAAGCAGAAGTAATGGTAGAAAAATTATCTTGCCAGCAAATGCGTTTAGCTTCACAGATGACATGTCGGGCGACCGCTTTCACTCATTTAAAATCAAGGAGATGCTCCGTGGTCCTATTGTAACAATATCAGCCCCATGCAGCATGTTTCAAACGTACTGCAAAAGCACAAGCAGGAGATCAACAAGGCCTGGCTGGAAAACCTCTCGCTTCACAAGCTGAGGGCCCAGGTTCGATTCCTGGCGGGGTGGACACATTTTAACGCGTTTCCTTACACCTGTTGTCCTGTTCCCATAGCAAGTAGGTACCTGGGTGTTAGTCGACTAGTGTAGATCGCATACTGGGTTACAAGATTGAGGACCCCAATGGAAATAAGACAGTCCCTCGATGACGCACTGCCTTTCTAGGGTTATCCTGGGTCACTAACCCTCCGGGGTTAAATATCCGAACAAAATCTTACCTGACCTGCCTCCTTGCTTCTACTAGTGAATCCCGTCCCTTACAACATCTTCCGCCTCACCTTCGACAGTATTTAAGGCTCCATTCTCATGCTTCGGCTTCATATTGTTCCAGACTATGAAGCTGAACTCTTTTCCAGGCTTACTGACCATCTCAAATACTTTTCCAGGCTTACTGACCCTCTCAAATACTTTTCCAGGCTTACTGACCCTCTCAAATACTTTTCCAGGCTTACTGACCATCTCAAATACTTTTCCAGGCTTACTGACCCTCTCAAATACTTTTCCAGGCTTACTGACCCTCTCAAATACTTTTCCAGGCTTACTGACCCTCTCAAATACTTTTCCAGGCTTACTGACCATCTCAAATACTTTTCCAGGCTTACTGATCCTCTCAAATGCTTTTCCAGGTTTACTGGCCCTCTCAAATACTTTTCCAGGCTTACTGACCCTCTCAAATACTTTTCCAGGCTGAGGGACTGACCATCTCAAATACTTTTTATCCAAGGTTGGTAGACTGATTATATTATCCTCATTTCACCATACCTGCTGCCTCTGTATTTGAAGGAAGAAACTTACTATACTATATAGGGGAAACGTTTCAAGAATAGAGATACCAAACTGTTGCACATATGTCTTAATCATCATGACGAATGTACTTATGTATACCTGTACCTAAAAAAAAATTAACTAACGCTTCCACCCGTGCCGGGGATCGAACCATGGATACTCAGCGTGAATGTATTGTTTTCATTTATTGTATTGTTCGTATCGGTTGTGTTGTTTGTATTGGTTGTGTTGTTTGTAATGGATGTGTTGTTTGTGTTGTATTGGTTGCGTTGTTTGTATTGCTGTATTGGTTGTGTTTATGTTGTGTTGTTTGTATTGACTGTATTGGTAGTTTTGTTTGTATTGATTGTATTAGTGTTTGTATTTATTGTATTGTTTGTGTTGTTTGTATTGATTGTATTGGTTATGTTGTTTGTATTAGTTGTTGTCTGTGTTGCTTGTATTGATTGTATTGGTTATGTTGTTTGTATTGGTTGTGTTGTTTGTGTTGTTTGTATAGATTGTATTGGTTGTGTTGTTTGTATTGATTGTATTGGTTGTGCTGTTTGTATTGGTTGTGTTTTTTGTATTGGTTGTGTTGTTTGTATTGATTGTATTGGCTGTGTTCATATTGTGTTGTTTGTATTGGTTGTGTTGTTTGTATTGATTGCATTGGTTGTGTTGTTTGTACTGATTGTGTTGTTTGTATTGATTATATTGGTTGTGTTGTTTGTACTGATTGTGTTGTTTGTATTGATTGTATTGGTTGTGTTGTTTGTACTGATTGTGTTGTTTGTATTGATTATATTGGTTGTGTTGTTTGTACTGATTGTGTTGTTTGTATTGATTGTATTGGTTGTGTTGTTTGTACTGATTGTGTTGTTTGTATTGATTGTATTGGTTGTGTTGTTTGTATTGATTGTTTGTATCAGCAAATGACCATATGACCTGACTTTGAAATACTCATTTGTGCTTAATTGTTATTTGTTTACTGTAATTTTTACCACTGAATATATCATTGCTTAGTTAATCTTAATTTAATTTTAAGCCTGCACATAATGCTCTGCATACAAGGGTTTTTTGGCATATTACACTTAACAAAATCACATATGCTGCTATGTATGATAATTCTATGTAACTGTATTTGTGTATACCTGAATAAACTTACTTAACTATATTTCTTTGTACATCTATGTATCATGTCCAAATTAATAATAATAAATTAATTATTTGCATTCCTTGTATTGTTCCCACTGGTAGCATTATTCCCACTGGTAGCATTGTTGCTATTGGTTGTATTGTGTATTTACTGTGTATAAAACATGTTTGATGCGAGGAAGGTGAAGGATGAGTCAGGTTGGTGTGACCGGCAAGATGGCCGCCTCGTCCCCTGACAGCGACCTGGGCAGCATCGACTGCTTCCAGAATTACACGGCTCCTGAAGTGTTCGTGCAGGGACTAGCTGGCCAGATCAATCAGCAGGATGTAGAGGCTATAATACGAGCTCAGAAGCAGATGTAAGTAGCGCGTAGGTGATGTGATACGAGCTGGGAGGCAGGTGCATGATTCTGTTACCTGGATATGTGGGGTTTAGATTTTTTTTTTTTTTTGTTGGTGGGAGGTACTTTCAGTGGAGGTTCATGATGGTGGTGAGGGGGTGGGTTTTGATCCAAGGGATTGGACCCGTGCTGATCTTTCTTGGATCGGACGTTAATGCCTCCCATTCCCTCAGGCTTTTTATGCCCCGTACGGGCTTAGCGCTTCCTCCCCTTCCCTCATAAATTTAACAAGAATTTGGGTACAAGATTTTATTAGGATTATTCACCTGGAGGGTTAGTCACCCAGGAAAACCCAGCAAAGCCACTGTTCAGACTGGCTTATTTCCACTGGAGTTCTTTAAACACCTCCCCCAGGATGCGACCCCACGAAGTCGACTAACACCCAGGTACCTACTTACTGCTAGGTGAACAGCAGGAAACACGTTGAGGCCGCTACCAGTTGAACCACGAGCACCCATACAAATTTGTCTACGGTAATCTATTATATGTGAGGGGTAACTGCTACCCCCATAGGGGGTCACATATACAGGGTGTGAGGAATGGAAAGCAGTCAGGTTCGTTCCAAGGAAGTGGAAGGATAACTCATTTCCATATATCAAGTCACTCAGCAGCATCAAGGAACCTCCTATGAGTGGGCATTGATTTCGAGTATACACACATGGGCACGTAATATGTATGTTACTCTGTAACAGTGGTAGGGTAGACTGACAGCTTGTAATAATGCACACAATGTGGGTTATGGCTTTGTATTGTGAAGTTATTCTAATAAATTGCCACAGACTGTGTTTTGTGCCTTATTGACACACTGTATATTATAGATAGATAGATTTCGTTCGGATTTTTAACCCCGGAGGGTTAGCCACCCAGGATAACCCAAGAAAGTCAGTGCGTCATCGAGGACTGTCTAACTTATTTCCATTGGGGTCCTTAATCTTGTCCCCCAGGATGCGACTCACACCAGTCGACTAACACCCAGGTACCTATTTGCTGCTAGGTGAACAGGACAACAGGTGTAAGGAAATGTGTCGAAATGTTTCCACCCGCCGGGAATCGAACCTGGGCCCTCCGTGTGTGAAGCAGGAGCTTTAGCCACCAGGCCACCAGGCCTGTAGTTTTAATTTTGAATAACCCAGCTATACACTGTTGTAGAGACCTTCTTTTTGACAATCCCTACTCATTCCCCCTGAAATGCACTGCATGCTAGTGGATTTCTCTTTTGCCTAACAATATTGATTGTGTGTAAACTGCATTATCTGTATGTTGCAGAAATTTGTATTCAATATGATGAAAAATCACAAGGATCCCAATATAATATATTATAATAATAATAATATATTTTTATTTGCTACAAGTACATGTACAAGGTATACAGGCCTAACTGACATTAATGACATACTACTATATAGAAAGTTCCTTGTTATGCAGAGCATTTCAGGTAAATTAGGTCAGTTTTGTCCCAGGATGCAACCCACACCAGTCTTCCAACACCCAGGTACCCATTTCACTGATGAGTAAACATAGGCAATCAGTGTAAGGAAACACGTCCAATGTTTCCACCCCTTTGCCAGGAATCGAACCTGGACCCTTACTGTGTGAAGCAAAAGCTTTTGCCACCAACAGACCCCTGGCAGTCTTCAAGCTGGCACTGGACAAGCACCTAAAGTCAGTTCCGGATCAGCCGGGCTGTGGCTCGTATGTTGGTTTGCGTGCAGCCAGCAGCAACAGCCTGGTTGATCAGGCTCTGATCCACCAGGAGGTCTGGTCTCAGACCGGGCCGCGGGGGCGTTGACCCCCGGAACTCTCTCCAGGTAAACTCCAGGTAAACCAGGCCACGGGGTACCCTCACTTTGACTGACCATTTTTAGGTTATTCTAGGTAATTTACACTATGTATCATAATTGTACTTATATGTACAATTGTACTTATATATACTTATGTGCCTAAATAAAACTTACTTGAGTAAGGCCAGCCTCCATCAGCTACCAAGAATATTTATCTAGAAGTGGGACAACATGAGTGTACCTGTTCCTCACAGGATGGGTATGGGGTGCATAATAAAGATATTAAACTAACTACCTACCTGTTCCTGCAACTACAAATAGGTGCAGTAATTAAAACTAACTACCTACCTGTTCCTGCAACTACAAATAGGTGCAGTAATTAAAATTAGGTACCTACCAGGTAGAGGTAAGGATTCAGTAGTGTCAGATTGTTTAGTAGTTGTTTTCAATTAGTGATCTCTGCCCGAAATGCCCCAGCATGATAGTGGCTTTCTTTGTATTTAACAAATCGAAATTGTAATTACACAGAAATGAATCTTTATCTGTATGTCTTCACTCATGACACCCCCTCAAGGAAGGTTCCTTGATGTTGGTGATGGGCTCATGATCTAGGGAATTGGATCTGTGCTCTGGTTCCCTGAATTAAGCCTCAATATCTTCCACATTCACCCCACAGGTGCTGCATAATCCTATGGGTCTAGCGCTCCTCTTTGATTATAATACGTGATAGTGATAATACACTCATGACAGAAAAAATATGTACAGTAAGTCATTGATAGGTTCTGGAAACTTCAACTTAAGCGAAATGATGTATAATGAAACCAATTTTACAGAAGGCTAATTAAAATAAACATCAGGGGGTGCACAGTGAACCTTTAGTACTCATTGCAACAGGGTTAAATCAAAGAATGAACATTTGCAAAGCGTAAATTGTAAGGAGCACCTCCTACCACACGCACTTCAACAGCGAACATGCAAACTCCAGACAGACAGTGGCCCTGGCTGGGAATTTTTTCTTTTTTCTTTTCATCTTTATAATAAAACATTATGTGAGGACTTGCTATACAGTACGTATTTTTATTTTCTTCCAGAGTACCCTTACTTTGAGTTTAAGGTCGTGATTACAATTTGAATTATCTACATATGCATGTGTTCAGCCTTCAAAGAGATGCTCTTAACAGTGACAATGACAGCTTTATGTAAAATGCAGTACAGTATATAGTTGACTTAGGATTAACTGACATGTATTAACTGCTGTATAGAAAGCACCTTGTTATGCAGAGCATTTCAGGCAGTTTAATATGTTGTATCTTGCGGATCACAAAAATGCTGATAAATAGGTAAGTTGCATGACTGTAATGAAAATTATAAATTTAATTATTGTATTACAAATAGGTTTGGAAATAGAGGTTTGCCATTGCATGTTGCCTATTCATTATACAGCATTTATAGTATGTACTGTGCTGCCTGAAATGCACATGCATGCTAGTTGTTTTGTACTTAACATATTTTATTACATGTAAACTACATACTTTTTATATACTTCACAAAGAAATAGTATTTGTTTTGTAATACAAAAAACAGACCGGGCCGCGGGGGCGTTGACCCCCGGAACTCTCTCCAGGTAAACTAGTTCTCCTTGGCTTTAGCCTTGTGTGGTTTATCTGGTCTTGATGTATTACAGTATCTATTTTGTTCCTTTCTTACAGCCTCTTTAGCTAGTGTACAGTACTGTATAATAATAATAATAATAATAATTAATATCTTTATTTACAACAAGTACATGCACATGTTATACAGGCCTAGCTGACATCACTGACATACTATTATATAGAAAGCTGCTTGTTATGCAGAGCATTTTGGGCAAATTAGGTCAGTTTTGTCTTAAGATGTGACCCACACCAGTCGACTAACACCCAGGTACCCATTTTAACCTGATGGGTGAGCAGGGACAGGTGTCTTATGGAAACATGTCTCTAATGTTTTCCAGCCATACCGGAAGAGATTCGAACTCTGGACCTCAGTGTGAGAGTTAAGTGTGCTAGCAATCGAATTATGGGACACCTCATATTTACCTAATTTGCTATACATAGTTTATTATTCATTTTTTATGGCTTTCATTTTTTCCTGTATATAGTATCATGATTTACCTCCATTTTTGTTTCTCTTCTTACCTTTAGATTTTGTTTTTCTACAAAATCTTAAGATTTTTTTTTTAAATTGTTTGCCATATCTTTGTTTTGTAAATCTTTAGTAGATGAGTGGACTTTTTAAATTCTTTTGATCACTGCTTTATGTCACCTATTGTTTTTGAGCTTAATACAGTGCTAGTAATTTCTGGTAATGCAGCTTTATTTTCTCTAAAGAAAAATGCTTTCTTGTGATAATGGAAGCCAGTTTATTTAGGCAATTTTTATGAGTTATATTTAGCCACTGACGTCCCACATCATAAAAATCTTTGAAAGAGTGCTAAGAAGCAGGATTGCAAATCACCTGGATTCCCAAATCTGCACAATCCAGGGCAACATGGGTTCAGGGCAGGTCGCTCCTGTCTCTCACAACTACTGGATCACTACGATATGGCCTTGGATGCACTGGAAGAAAATCAGAATGCAGATGTAATATACACAGACTTTGCAAAAGCATTTGACAAATGCGATCATGGCGTAATAGCCCATAAAATACGTGCTAAAGGAATAACTGGGAAAGTGGGGAGATGGATCTTCAACTTCCTAACAAATCGAACACAAAGAGTAGTGGTCAACAGAGTTAAATCGGAGGCTGCCATAGTGAAGAGCTCTGTTCCACAAGGCACAGTACTCGCCCCCATCTTATTCCTCATCCTCATATCAGACATAGACAGAGATATACATCACAGCACCGTATCATCCTTTGCGGATGATACTAGGATCTGCATGAGGCTGTCATCTGCTGAGGACGCGGTTAACCTTCAAGAAGATATAAACAAAGTTTTCCAGTGGGCAACGGTAAACAATATGATGTTCAATGAGGACAAATTCCAACTACTCCGTTATGGAAAACTGGAGGAGATAATAACTAGAACAGAGTATACTACAGACTCTGGCCATACAATAGAGCAGAAAAATAATGTAAGGGTCCTGGGAGTAGTAATGTCTGAGGATCTCATTTTCAAGGATCACAACAGTGCCACGATCGCACGTGCAAAGAAAATGATAGGATAGATAATGAGAACATTCAAAACGAGAGATGCCAAGCCAATGATGATCCTTTTCAAATCACTTGCTCTCTCTTGGCTGGAATACTGCTGTACATTAACATCTCCATTCAAAGCAGGTGAAATCGCAGATCTAGAGAGTGTACAGAGATCCTTTACTGCACGTATAAGTTCTGTCAAGCACCTTAACTACTGGGAACGCTTGGAAGCACTTGACTTGTACTCGTTGGAACACAGGAGGGAGAGATATATCATAATCTACACTTGGAAAATCCTGGAAGGAATGGTCCCAAATCTGCACACACAAGTTACTCCCTACGAAAGTAAAAGACTGGGCAGGAGATGCAAAATGCTCCCAGCCGGGCTGTGGCTCGTACGTTGGTTTGCGTGCAGCCAGCAGTAACAGCCTGGTTGATCAGGCTCTGATCCACCAGGAGGCCTGGTCACAGACCGGGCCGCAGGGGCGTTGACCCCCGGAACTCTCTCCAGATAAACTCCAGGTAATTAAAAGTAGGGGCGCCATTGGTACATTAAGGGAAAACGCCATAAGTGTCCGGAACCCAAGACTGTTCAACAGCCTCCCATCAAGCATTAGGGGAATTGCCAATAAACCCCTGGCTGCCTTCAAGAGAGAGCTGGACAGATACCTAAAGTCAGTGCCGGATCAGCCGGGCTGTGGCTCGTACGTTGGACTGAGTGCGGCCAGCAGTAACAGCCTAGTTGATCAGGCCCTGATCCATCGGGAGGCCTGGTCATGGACCGGGCCGCGGGGGCATTGATCCCCGGAATAACCTCCAGGTAACTGATAAAATATGATTAACATATACAATATAAAAACTATCTGACCTGTGGACATCACTAGCAAATTTAATTGTAAATTTTAAATATGTATCCTGTGTGGCATCCTGTGTATAGATTGTTCACTTCCTTTGTCGATGTCTTGTTTCTATGGTGGGTGGGGAAGCTGTGTGGAGGCTTGGACACTGATGGAAGAGGTATTATGTTATTGTCTTAATACTTTTCCATGTACAGTAAACCCTCAATTTATAGGAATATAATAGGGGTGGGGGAAGCAAGTGTCTGGAAATGACAGTAGTGGTGGATAGGGATGAGATTGTTTTGCCATTGTCATAATATTAACAGACACTATTACAAGCAATGGTCTTTTTCTGTTGTGTTGGAATCAGTTGACCCAGTGGATTTTGTCCTATATTTCCAAAGTCCTAATTTAAGATCCATTACATTGTGGGTTTACTGTTACCTATTAACATTAGAATATTTACTTACTCCTTTTATTCTAGGCTGCAGAGGTTTGAGAAGACTAATGAGATGTTGAGCAACTGTAATTCTTTGTCAGCTACACGATTTGCTCTTGCACAGAAGGAATTCAAAAAGCATACTGCTCTTTTGGTTGACATGAAGAAGGATCTTGATAATGTCTTCAAGCGTATTAGAACAATTAAGACGAAACTATCAAATCAGTATCCTGCTGCATTTACTGGTATGTGGTTGTTCACTTTGTGAAGTGCCCTGCATTTCAATTTTAGTTCTCCAGGTAAAAAAAATATTCAGATTGACCAACTGTGTGAAGAATAATGTGCGCCATGATTAACCCGTAAACGATCCAAGCAGATCTACGTTCACATGTGTAGTGCTACAAAAGTAGATCTAAGTTTTTTTTTACATATTTTCAAATATAACAAAAAAAAAAAAATAGATCAAAGTTTTTTTACACATTTTCAAATGTAGAAAAACAAAAAGATCTACTTTTTTTTACATACTTTCAAATGTTGAAAAAACGTATATATACGTTTGGACCGTTTACGGGTTAAGTGCATATCCAAGAATAAAGTATGCATTGTATTGTATTGATTTGCAGCTCTAAACCGTGTAGGTCACGCAGCACTAAGAGTGGTGGAGGCTTGATTCTCCATTTTGCAATTGCAGCCTAGTCTCTTTGTCAGTTCAGTTTTGGAGATGGCAAGTTTTAACCCTTTGACTGTCGCAAACCCCTTTCTGAAACTCGTTCTATGTGAAATGATAGAGAATCTTTTCCCAATGGTAATGACACCAAAAGTACGAAATTTGGTCAAAAACTCACGGAATTACGCTCCCGCGAAGTTAGCAGTCTCGGTGACATATACGCATCGGCAATTTTGCCGACTTTGAGCCCTGTTTTTGGCCAATTCTGTTGTTCCAGTTGACCAAACTCATGGCTATTTCTTTAGAACTCCAGTTTTTCTATCAGTTGAGTACAAGAAACTGCCCATTTACCAATTTGAACTACCCAATAAAGTGGTCAGAAATTGGTAATTTGGCCAATTTCACGCAAATAAAAAAAGATGCCAATTTCAAAATAGGGTCCAGAATAAACAGTGTAGACATTCTTGGCACTAAAATATCATATCCTCTGTTCATTAGTCACATCTCTAGGCCCCTCTTATATTACTATTGCTTTCTATTTTGATTTTTTATTCGGAGTGATTATGTCGGAGGATCTCACCTTCAAGGACCATAACATTGTATCAATCGCATCTGCTAGAAAAATGACAGGATGGATAATGAGAACCTTCAAAACTAGGGAGGCCAAGCCCATGATGACACTCTTCAGGTCACTTGTTCTATCTAGGCTGGAATATTGCTGCACTCTAACAGCACCTTTCAAGGCAGGTGAAATTGCCGACCTAGAAAATGTACAGAGAACTTTCACGGCGCGCATAACGGAGATAAAACACCTCAAAATAACTGGGAGCGCTTGAGTTTCTAAACCTGTATTCCCTGGAACGCAGGAGGGAGAGATACATGATTATATCACCACTGGAAAATCCTAGAGGGATAGTACCGAACTTGCACACGAAAATCACTCACTACGAAAAGCAAAAGACTTGGCAGACGATGCACCATCCCCCAATGAAAAGCAGGGGTGTCACTAGCACGTTAAGAGACCATACAATAAGTGTCAGGGGACCGAGACTGTTCAACTGCCTCCCAGCACACATAAGGGGGATTACCAACAGACCCCTGGCAGTCTTCAAGCTGCACTGGACAAGCACCTAAATCAGTTTCCTGATCAGTCCGGGCTTGTGCTCGTACGTTGGTTTGCGTGCAGCCAGCAGCAACAGCCTGGTTGATCAGGCGCTGATCCACCAGGAGGCCTGGTCACAGACCGGGCCGCGGGGGCGTTGACCCCCGAAACTCTCTCCAGGTAAACTCCAGGTCTCCAGGTACAAAAAAATACAAAATTTACTGTTATGCAAACTACTGCATTATTGTAAAAATGGTATAAATAATATCAGTGCACTAGTGAAAGAATATTAGATTCCCCAGTTGATGTATATTGGACGTGTGGTGTAATTTGCATACTCCTGAACATTGGTAAAAATCGAACATTTCCGCTACTTTGAGCTCAACTTCAAGGTCGTTTTTCATCGTGAACGTAATGAAAATCATCTCTATTTCTGTAATATGTTTTCCACTTTATCACCTGAGACCATGAAAATGAGGATACAGCGATAAATACTATACAAAAATACACCTCACTGTCGGCGTTTTAATCCAAAAAAACGGTCAGTTTTTTTTCTCATTATGCACTGCATGCTGCAGGATGTTTTATATGTGGTGCACACTGACCACACAGACCCATTCTCTCACATGTGGGCCTACCAGCTTTCTCCTGCTTGATTTGAAGCCGCCAGAATTTACGCGTATAAATACGTCAGAAACAGTGGCGCATAAGACGTATATATACGACGTAAACAGTCAAAGGGTTAAGAGTCATCTGATGCCTGTCCTTTTATCTTAGAGACCATTTTTCTTTTTATTGAACATTACACTAATTACACTTATTCAGATTAGATTTGAAAAATACATTTTAAATGATCTCTGAAATTTTATTAGAAATTTCTAAATACTGTAGTAAAGAATTTTTTAAAAATTTGATTTTGGAATATTACTCAGCATACATGTTTCATCTAATGCTTTTTATAAATGTATGGCATGGTATATTTAATTTTTTTCCAAATTTTTATATTTGTATTTTCTTTGCAGAGAGCTGATAGTAATAAAGAAAAGACACAAGTGCAAGTTTCTGTTGACTTGATAGAGCGATACATTATTATGAAATAGCTTGGTGCAGAGAGAAATGCAGTTACTGTATATGGAATCCTATTCAAAATAACTATGGGGGGAATTGAATGATAGCTCGAGGCCTTTTGTGTTGCAATCAACACAGTCACACTTGCAGTGTTGCAGAAATGACTAGGAAGTCCAGGCAGATTTGTCCAGGGAAACGACTCTCCAGAATGAGTCATTTCTGAATAAATCTGTTAGGACTTATGCTCATTTGTTGCAACATTGCAAGCTTCTGATGTGACTGCAACACGAAAAGCCTAGAGCAAAATCCCCCCCCCCCCAGGTTTTTTTTTGCTCAGGCAAAATAACCCCAGGGGGGGCTTATTTTTGCATCCTTTAGCAGCTATAAAAGATTTGTTACCAATTTATAAGAGCATAAGAACTTTATCCAGTCACAGTAAGGGCGTGGTGGAAAGCAAGTGGTTTACACAGTAGGTCACATTGATTCCCAAGTGTCCTGGTAATTTTCTGGCAAGACATTCAGCAGGGTTGCAGAAACCATTAGGATTAGTTTGCCTGAAATGCTTTGCTTACCAGTGGCTTTTTATGCCTACCGTTGTTTTACTACATGTAAACTGCCTTATTTGTACTGCATAAAAAAATAAAAGTTGTATTGTCCTGGTTGAAATTGTTCTAGATACTGATGAGCGTAGATTCAAAGCTGTCATTTTCTTAGGCAACAAGTAGTGCACCACTAAATTTTATCAAATACTTGTGGGAATTATGACATACTATTACCAGATTACTGCATTCCTATTATTTTTTTATTATCACACTGGCCGATTCCCACCAAGGCAGGGTGGCCCGAAAAAGAAAAACTTTCACCATCATTCACTCCATCACTGTCTTGCCAGAAGGGTGCTTTACACTACAGTTTTTAAACTGCAACATTAACACCCCTCCTTCAGAGTGCAGGCACTGTACTTCCCATCTCCAGGACTCAAGTCTGGCCTGCCGGTTTCCCTGAACCCCTTCATAAATGTTACTTTGCTCACACTCAAGTATTAAAAACCATTTGTCTCCATTCACTCCTATCAAACACGCTCACGCATGCCTGCTGGAAGTCCAAGCCCCTCGCACACAAAACCTCCTTTACCCCCTCTCTCCAACCTTTCCTAGGCCGACCCCTACCCCGCCTTCCTTCCACTACAGACTGATACACTCTTGAAGTCATTCTGTTTCGCTCCATTCTCTCTACATGTCCGAACCACCTCAACAACCCTTCCTCAGCCCTCTGGACAACAGTTTTGGTAATTCCGCACCTCCTCCTAACTTCCAAACTACGAATTCTCTGCATTATATTCACACCACACATTGCCCTCAGACATGACATCTCCACTGCCTCCAGCCTTCCCTCGCTGCAACATTCATCACCCATGCTTCACACCCATATAAGAGCGTTGGTAAAACTATACTCTCATACATTCCCCTCTTTGCCTCCAAGGACAAAGTTCTTTGTCTCCACAGACTCCTAAGTGCACCACTCACTCTTTTCCCCTCATCAATTCTATGATTCACCTCATCTTTCATAGACCCATCCGCTGACACGTCCACTCCCAAATATCTGAATACATTCACCTCCTCCATACTCTCTCCCTCCAATCTGATATTCAATCTTTCATCACCTAATCTTTTTGTTATCCTCATAACCTTACTCTTTCCTGTATTCACCTTTAATTTTCTTCTTTTGCACACCCTACCAAATTCATCCACCAATCTCTGCAACTTCTCTTCAGAATCTCCCAAGAGCACAGTGTCATCAGCAAAGAGCAGCTGTGACAACTCCCACTTTGTGTGTGATTCTTTATCTTTTAACTCCACGCCTCTTGCCAAGACCCTCGCATTTACTTCTCTTACAACCCCATCTATAAATATATTAAACAACCACGGTGACATCACACATCCTTGTCTAAGGCCTACTTTTACTGGGAAATAATTTCCCTCTTTCCTACATACTCTAACTTGAGCCTCACTATCCTCGTAAAAACTCTTCACTGCTTTCAGTAACCTACCTCCTACACCATACACTTGCAACATCTGCCACATTGCCCCCCTATCCACCCTGCCATATGCCTTTTCCAAATCCATAAATGCCACAAAGACCTCTTTAGCCTTATCTAAATACTGTTCACTTATATGTTTCACTGTAAACACCTGGTCCACACACCCCCTACCTTTCCTAAAGCCTCCTTGTTCATCTGCTATCCTATTCTCCGTCTTACTCTTAATTCTTTCAATAATAACTCTACCATACACTTTACCAGGTATACTCAGCAGACTTATCCCCCTATAATTTTTGCACTCTCTTTTATCCCCTTTGCCTTTATACAAAGGAACTATGCATGCTCTCTGCCAATCCCTAGGTACCTTACCCTCTTCCATACATTTATTAAATAATTGCACCAACCGCTCCAAAACTATATCCCCACCTGCTTTTAACATTTCTATCTTGATCCCATCAATCCCGGCTGCCTTACCCCCTTTCATTTTACCTACTGCCTCACGAACTTCCCCCACACTCAACTGGCTCTTCCTCACTCCTACAAGATGTTATTCCTCCTTGTCCTATACACGAAAACCACAGCTTCCCTATCTTCATCAACATTTAACAATTCCTCAAAATATTCCCTCCATCTTCCCAATACCTCTAACTCTCCATTTAATAACTCTCCTCTCCTATTTTTAACTGACAAATCCATTTGTTCTCTAGGCTTTCTTAACTTGTTAATCTCACTCCAAAACTTTCTTATTTTCAACAAAATTTGTTGATAACATCTCACCCACTCTCTCATTTGCTCTCTTTTTACATTGCTTCACCACTCTCTTAACCTCTCTCTTTTTCTCCATATACTCTTCCCTCCTTGCATCACTTCTACTTTGTAAAAACTTCTCATATGCTAACTTTTTCTCCCTTACTACTCTCTTTACATCATCATTCCACCAATCGCTCCTCTTCCCTCCCGCACCCACTTTCCTGTAACCACAAACTTCTGCTGAACACTCTAACACTACATTTTTAAACCTACCCCATACCTCTTCGACCCCATTGCCTATGTTCTCATTAGCCCATCTATCCTCCAATAGCTGTTTATATCTTACCCTAACTGCCTCCTCTTTTAGTTTATAAACCTTCACCTCTCTCTTCCCTGATGCTTCTATTCTCCTTGTATCCCATCTACCTTTTACTCTCAGTGTAGCTACAACTAGAAAGTGATCTGATATATCTGTGGCCCCTCTATAAACATGTACATCCTGAAGTCTACTCAACAGTCTTTTATCTACCAATACATAATCCAACAAACTACTGTCATTTCGCCCTACATCATATCTTGTATACTTATTTATCCTCTTTTTCTTAAAATATGTATTACCTATAACTAAACCCCTTTCTATACAAAGTTCAATCAAAGGGCTCCCATTATCATTTACACCTGGCACCCCAAACTTACCTACCACACCCTCTCTAAAAGTTTCTCCTACTTTAGCATTCAGGTCCCCTACCACAATTACTTTCTCACTTGGTTCAAAGGCTCCTATACATTCACTTAACATCTCCCAAAATCTTCTCTCTCCTCTGCATTCCTCTCTTCTCCAGGTGCATACACGCTTATTATGACCCACTTCTCGCATCCAACCTTTACTTTAATCCACATAATTCTAGAATTTACACATTCATATTCTTTTTCTCCTTCCATAACTGATCATTCAACATTACTGCTACCCCTTCCTTTGCTCTAACTCTCTCTATCTCTAACTATCTCTAATTATATTCTCTAATTATATTCTTTTATAATCTGTTCATCATTACATTGATGTCTTTTATAATGAAAGTGCACTTTTAGTGTGCACTGATATTCCATGTACCAAATAGTTTATCCAAATGCCACTATTATACCACAGGCTGTGTTTATGTAGTTAAGTGGTATACAATCTGCTCTTTGAATCTTTCTCCTTGCTCCGTATCTTCAGACAGCCTTCGATGCCCAGTTTCATCCTTATCTGAACCAGGGTGACAGGGTGACACGAATGGCCAGTAATGGTGACTTGTGGTTCTGCCACAGCAGCTCCAGTCCTTGACATTACCAGTGAAAAATTTGTGGATTGAGTTGGTCACAAATGCTATTAATAGGATGTTGTTTTGGCCAGGTTTCTTATGGGCAACCCGTCTCCTGGATTTCTTCAACCGATCCCTCTGGGATACTATTATTTTAGAATTCACCTCTTGGATACATGAAGCACGTAATATTCCCTTTACTGCTCTTGAACTTGCCTCAGTATGTTGAGGTATTAGCCTACAGCAGCTGAGCTCAATGATATACATGTTCTCATGCTTTAGTATTTACACTCCTCAACATTAGACCAATTATTAGCCCTCTTGATTTAAGTTTGATTTACAGGGGTGGAAGTCTACTGTAGTCTTTCCTTACGGAAAACTAGACACATAGGGCCATGATGCCCATTATAGACCAGTAGCTCTTTCTAGTTCCATTTGTAAATTAATGGAATATATGGTTAACACGAGCAATTGGAGACACATAATTGTATAACGCCACATTAGTTTGAAAGCAGACGGGACTGTCGTACTACTGATCCTCTACTCTGACTCTATGTGCATTCTTAATGGTTTTCCTGAAGGTTAGTTTATGGTAGCAATTTTTATTTTTTTTTTTTTTTTTTTTTTTTTTTGACTTAGCCAAGGTTTAGGATAAGGCATGGTAATATCAGATCTTATCTCAGGTTCGTTCTTTTGCCTGAGAGACCATCTTCCACTTTTTCTTGATGTCATTATGACAGATGGGCACTTAATGTCTTAATAACAGCTTCTCTCTAGACTTTGTTCAAGCAGAATGTATTCCACAAGGGTGTGGTCTGTTTCTATTAGCCTCTATTGGTTTATCCTTGGTACGAATGTGGGAAATTTGGTTTTCTTTACATGTGATTTTGCTGTTGCTTGTGCTGACATATATTCAACAGATTAACATCTGACACAATCATCTGTGCATGTACTGTAGCTGGACTACATCACATGGCTTCAGGTTCTCAATATCCAAAATGATTTCAATTACATTTACACTTGGTACCCTGTTACTTTCCCATTTTGTACTTTTTTTTTTTTTTTTTATTTATATATCTGCCAAACTGTTTATTTTCTTGGCCTCTGTTTTGACTGGAGAATGGCATAGAAATTACACACAACAATCCTGAAAGTTATGCGTGTTAGCAAACTTAATTTATGTAAGAATGGTATATAATACCGACAAGATGAAATTAAGACACATGTGCAACATCTGGGTATCTTTATTGTAGACGTTTCGCCATCCAGTGGCTTTATCAATACAAATTCTAGGACATAACTTGAAGACAGTAGAACTATGTACAGAAGATGAGGTAATCAGTCCCTCAACCTAGGAGTAGGTGCGAAGAGCACCATAGTGCTATGGTGCTCTTCGCACCTACTCCTAGGTTGAGGGACTGATTACCTCATCTTCCGTACATAGTTCTACTGTCTTCAAGTTATGTCCTAGAATTTGTATTGATAAAGCCACTGGATGGCGAAACGTCTACAATAAAGATACCCAGATGTTGCACATGTGTCTTAATTTCATCAAACTTAATTTAGTTAAACTTCTGTCAAATTTTACCTTGGAGGATGATAGGCTAGATTTTCTTAGTCTTTGTACAGCCTTGGTATATTCATTTGCTTTAATACTACTCTTTTCAAGCTTGATGTTGTCCATCAAGTTTTATATCCATGTCTTGGTGCCTTTCAGTTGTTCAAGAGTTGAAAACTTAAATGTTGAGTTTAAAATTCCTTTACTGCAGAACTGTTGAAATACTTGTCTATTCTTATCTGTTTTTTTTTTTTTTTCATGGCCTTGTGACCTATAGATGAATCACACTGTCAGTAGTTGTCCTTTATTATGTCTTTTTAATCTTTGCCTTCAGACTCTAGTTGTTTCTCCTCAGTCTGCTTCCATCTTTGTTCACCCTGTTATTTCTTCTCTTTTCTACTTGAGTTATTGATTCAACTATGTCCCTCTTTCCTTCACTTTCCAAAGTCTCCTGTCTCTGCTGTGGACATGTACTCCTCCTCCTTTGATCATTTTTAATTACTCTCATACCGCTTGTTCATTGATAGCGTTAAATTTTCTGATGGTGTAAAATATGCAACAGTTTTTCTGGATTGCATAATACTGGGACACTTACCAGATTGGCTAGTTTAGTTTAATGTCTTTATTATGTACCCCATACCCATCCTGTGGGAGGTAGTCAAAATATTACAGAGGTACATAATGGGTCAAGGGACTGGACCCCAAAGTTATGATAACTGAACTAGTTACAACGGTAATGAACTCCAGGTAGATCTAGTCACAATCATGGCAAGTTACAAAGGTAATGAACCATCTGCACTCCAATACATGGTTACAATCATGAACAAATTACAAAGTAATGAGCCACCGACACATCCACACCTAGTCACAATTGTCATGAGTTATAAATACAAATATTAAGTGGGTCATACACCCACACTAGCGCGCGCGCACACGAAGGCACACATGTACGCACGAGGGCGTGCACACACAAGCATGCACAGATTGGCTAGCATGGTAGAATATCAACTACAGCACAGTTAGATTGCATGAGATTGTCATAACATGATTGAAATACAGTATTATAGCAAAAAAACAGCTATTTCTTCATGTATTCCAACTGCTCCAATATTATTCTCTATTGGAATGACAAACCATTTCATTGAAGATATCTAAGTGTTACACTTGTGTCTTATTTATCTACTCGTCAGTTTTGTATAGAGTATCATGAGTCCATATATATAAGATTGCATATATTACTTCAGTGAATATTTACAAATGGGGAAAATACACAAGAGAAGGAAATAAAGAAAAGGAGAGGTACAAGGTAGGACAATGAGAACCACCACTGAAAAGATAATGTTGATGCTGAAAAAATTGTATCAGACAACCGAATGGTACTCTTGTGTAAATTAAGGTATAGCGGTAGAAATGCCATGTGTCTTTACACTCTCCATGGTCATATTTCCACCGACATCCTATGCGAGGCAGATTAATATCTGGATGTTTATGAGTAATATTTCGTCTCCTTTGTAAAGTGAAGATTTTACTGTTATGTAGTTTTAAGTTACCTTCTGCTCCTTTATTAATTAAATTAACTATGTAAACTGATAGGTAATGTTTATTAATGTTTTTAAAATTTATAATGTTTATTATTGCATTTCCAGCTGCCCAGGAAGAAGTTTTTAAGGAAGAGGAGGAAACTGAATTAGCCAATAAGAATCAAGAATTAAATTCTTCTGAGAGCAATAATAAACGTACATCTATGTCTGGAGAGAGTGCTCAGAGTGGGCACTCCAGTAAATCAGAGCGTGTCGAGGAGATGGAACAGTCGAGCGATGGGAGCCGAGCAGATAATGAGAGACGGATTAAAAAAACAGCAAGTAGTTCTTCAGATAGCAGTAGTAGTCCAAAGTTATCAAGTTCATCCTCATTTGATAATTAAATATAAAGCAATTTAATATATTTGTTAAAGCACTGATTAAGTTAAAGATAATATAAAGCTATTTTGTACCTGATCTTGAGTAATAGTGATATTAATTTTACTGTATCAGTAATAGCTGTAACCTTAAGTTGTGTATTTAATAAAGGATGTTTTATTATAATTTGAGTTTATTTTCTGAATCTTTTCTGTACTACTGATTTTATGTGGGTATCATTAGCCATTTTTACCAAGGTTAGGCTTGCCTTTCGCTTTTGAGCAAGTACGTATAATTTTTGTATCACTTTTTTCACGTTCAGTTGTTGAATAGTTCATAAAGAACGTCTTCCACATACTGTACCATCTTCTTGGCCATTTTTTCATATTAATACATTTTTCATCCCTTTTCTCCTATATTTCTTGGCTTCTCTTGTTCTGTTTTTACTGTGATGTATATACAGGAGGGCTTTACTTTGCTAATACAGCAGTTTTTTATTCAGACTTTCTCCAAAAAAATATATTCACCACTTGCTATAAGCTAAGGATTAAAGTATTTTAAGGTAAGAAATGTGTATACTGTATATGCAGTTTTTTTAGGCCTAGCTCTGTTGCTCACTTAATATATATATATATATATATTAGTCTCCATGGGGAAGTGGAACAGAATTCTTCCTCCGTAAGCCATGCGTGTTGTAAGAGGCAACTAAAATGCCGGGAGCAAGGGGCTAGTAACCTCTTCTCCTGTATATATTACTAAATGTAAAAGGAGAAACTTTCGTTTTTCCTTTTGGGCCACCCCGCCTCGGTGGGATACGGCCGGTGTGTTGAAAGAAGAATATATATTAGTGTAAACATGTTATCAAGCTTTTATATACATTTGAAAGTGGGGGGAGGGGAAGAAGGGCATGACTATATTTCACTTGACACTGATTATCACTTATTACCCAGGTGCTGTATGTTCCCTGTGGGTTTAGCGATTTCCAAAGTAATATAATGATTTGACCTGTTCTGAAGGAATGTGGTTGCTCCAGCCTTAACTATACGGTGGTCTTATTGCTTTCACTTCTACTTTCTATTCTTAATGAAAATTTCATAAACCTGTAGCAAAGCTAATTTAGATACATCAACAGTGTGGGTTCTGCAAGGCTTGTTGTACTGGGGATCACTTTTACCCTAATCATATTTAGTCAGCCTCACTTGAGAATATGGTAATTCTTGTGAATTTGACAATTTTTCCAGAGTACATTTATAACACATTTTCTCTTCAGCATTGCCTTTTTTGTTGCTACACTTCTGCATACCTATTTTTAAGCTTTATTTCTAATAGCCCCAGCTCTGTTGGTAGAGATGGTTCAACCTATATATCTTTCTTACTCTGTTTAGTGACAAGGGTCTGTCTGTACCATAATCTACTTTTGGTGTATGTTCATAACATTATATACATGAAACTTCTTTTCCCTTTCATCATTGTCCTTTTGCAGCTTTTACAAAATTACACTTTGCAATTCATTTCTCATGTTCAATCTTGATTCCATTACTGTAGAGCACAGTTAACTCTTAAATTAATTTCTACTAAAAAAAATTTTGTCTATTGAGCCACATTCCTGCTAATATGCTGATTTGAAGTATAGTACTTATTCAAGGCACTGACCTTTATCACTTTTTAGTAAACTGTTAGAACCATCACTCTTAGGACAAGAACTTTGCCAGTTTCTTGAATTAACAAATATACTGCTTTTTAAAAAATTGGCAAAAATATTCATTCCTCTACTGTATTCAAATGATTCAACAAAAAAGATGAGATACAGTATACCAGATAAACCACATTTAAGTTTGTTTCTCAAAAAAATAATCCAAGGGCAATTCTTGAGTAGGCAGACAATGGCAAAAGCCAGCAAATGGAAAACACATTAGTAGCAGAGAATCCTTTTAATATGTTTCACCCTAAGTAGGTACTTGATAAAGTCCAGCCTTGGGTAAAATATTGTATTAAAAGGATTCTCAGACTGATGTGTTGAAGAAAAATATAGTAGCACTGTAGTGATAATAATGGTATTGTGTTGTATTCCCTTCAAGGAGGGGTTGATGTTGATGAAGGGCTCTGTATTTAGTTAAGTGAAGTTATTCTCTCCTGAGTTGAATCAAACATGATTACCTCCCATTCCCCAGGACCTCTATGACCCCCTACATGTTCAGTGCTACCCCATGAATGTATGTTGCATTAGGAGCAGAACAAAGCTTAAAACTAATACAGTGTTGAAGACTTAGTGCCCTTGACCAGCTCTTCTTTTAGAGTAGTTCAAGGCAAGTTCCTTTATACTGGTGTGGGGCTCTTGATTCAAGGAGTTGGTCTTGGCCTCCCCTACCTTAGATCACATCTGATCACCTTCCCATTCCCCAAGCATAATATGACCCCTAAAGGTTTAGCGCTTTTCCCTAAATATAGTAAAATAATCTTATTTACCACTTTTATGATATGGCAAGATTGTTTCATGAACATGTAAGATGGCAGGTAAGTCTTACAATTTTTTTATATTCAGTATGTGTAATGTCACCATGGTTGTTTAATATATTTATAGATGGGGTTGTAAAAGAAGTAAATGCTAGGGTGTTTGGGAGAGGGGTGGGATTAAATTATGGGGAATCAAATTCAAAATGGGAATTGACACAGTTACTTTTTGCTGATGATACTGTGCTTATGGGAGATTCTAAAGAAAAATTGCAAAGGTTAGTGGATGAGTTTGAGAATGTGTGTAAAGGTAGAAAGTTGAAAGTGAACATAGAAAAGAGTAAGGTGATGAGGGTATCAAATGATTTAGATAAAGAAAAATTGGATATCAAATTGGGGAGGAGGAGTATGGAAGAAGTGAATGTTTTCAGATACTTGGGAGTTGACGTGTCGGCGGATGGATTTATGAAGGATGAGGTTAATCATAGAATTGATGAGAGAAAAAAGGTGAGTGGTGCAGTTGAGGTATATGTGGAGTCAAAAAACGTTATCTATGGAGGCAAAGAAGGGAATGTATGAAAGTATAGAAGTACCAACACTCTTATATGGATGTGAAGCTTGGGTGGTAAATGCAGCAGCGAGGAGACGGTTGGAGGCAGTGGAGATGTCCTGTCTAAGGGCAATGTGTGGTGTAAATATTATGCAGAAAATTCAGTGTGTGGAAATTAGGAGAAGGTGTGGAGTTAATAAAAGCATTAGTCAGAGGGCAGAAGAGGGTTGTTGAGGTGGTTTGGTCATTTAGAGAGAATGGATCAAAGTAGAATGACATGGAAAGCATATAAATCTATAGGGGAAGGAAGGAGGGGTAGGGGTCATCCTTGAAAGGGTTGGAAAGAGGGGGTAAAGGAGGTTTTGTGGGCTAGGGGCTTGGACTTCTAGCAAGCGTGCATGAGCGTGTTAGATAGGAGTGAATGGAGGCGAATGATACTTGGGACCTGACGATCTGTTGGAGTGTGAGCAGGGTAATATTTAGTGAAGGGATTCAGGGAAACCGGTTATGTTCATATAGTCGGACTTGAGTCCTGGAAATGGGAAGTACAATGCCTGCACTTTAAAGGAGGGGTTTGGGATATTGGCAGTTTGGAGGGATATGTTGTGTATCTTTATACGTATATGCTTCTAAGCTGTTGTATTCTGAGCACCTCTGCAAAAGCAGTGATAATGTGTGAGTGTGGTGAAAGTGTTGAATGATGATGAAAGTATTTTTTTTTGGGGATTTTCTTTCTTTTTTGGGTCACCCTGCCTCGGTGGGAGACGCCGACTTGTTGAAAAAAAAAAAAAAAAAAATGTGCTTCATACGTGTAAACATTTCTCAGTTATGGTATATTATAAAAGAAAATTATGTTTATACATATAGGGTACATTACATAAGAAATAGCTGTTGGATACTCCACCCGACAGCCTCATGTATTGCACATTTTGATGATAGATTTTATCTATTATTTTAGATTAGATTTAGTTGTTGTAATTTAGAAATAATGGAACTATAGTACTGCACATGAAATGCATTAATCTGCTTTCTTTCTTCAGGTAGATCTAGCTTATGAAAGTTCTCCAACACAAGAAAAGAACAGGATGCAAGATGTTTCTAGAAATTCTCCCCTGATGTTGTCACCTTACCACAGTTGCAGAGTTTAAATGGCCTAATGCCTAAGAATTCAGCAATGAATTGAATTGTGATTGTATCTGAAAAAATAATCATGATAACACTAAATTGGTAATGATAGTAGAAAATTGGCAAGGTATTGAAACTGATAATAATGGCAACACATTAGCATTGATGCGTTGTGGTAATTAAAGGTGATTTGTCTTCAGTTAGGAAAGCTACTTTTCAATATAATATAGTAAAGGATATATGGAAGCACCGGTTTGTCAGTTCTGTTTAAGATAAAAGGAGCAAACTGTCAAGTTCTGTCATTGAAGCAACCACTTAAGATAGTTTTAAAAAAGGTTGGACTGGTGAGTGAGAATGGTTGGGTGCAAGTAAGACCTGCCTAATATGGGGTGGTACCCCAAATGCTAACAGGTCTTCTCTTTGTTTTGAGTACATGTAATTCTTACAAACTTCTACTGTCATTATACACTGCTTTAGTTCGTGTGTGTATGACCCAAGTGGGTTTAGCGCTTTCTTGTGAATACAGCCTCTCCTCACTTAGTGACGTACTCATTTACTGAAGACTAGGCCTTACGACAGGCTCTCTGACCGGTATGCATATCTAAATTAGAGCCGATTTCCTCTATTCTGTTTATCACAATATACAGTAAACTACTGTATAAACATTTAAAAATATACCAGAAATGTTATAAATGGTACAAAGGTGACCTTACAACAATATCAAAGATGGTTGACACAAACCCACTTATTACAGTATGCTCCTCACTTAATGACGAATTCGTTTACCGACATTGTCTTAGGAACGGAACTCTGTCGTTAAGTGAGGAGAGGCTGTATAATAATTTTAGTATTGTTTCCTTTTCAATTTATGCGGCCTGATCTTTAGACTGGGTCGGTGAGGCGATGATACCTACTACCAGTTTACTTGTTATTTTAGGCAAGCAACTCATACTAACGTGCTACCATTCTCTTCTTTTATGACTAGATCTTTTTGGAATAGATGAATCAAGGAGGTATTACTCAGATGTTAAAGAGAATACCAACATGAGCTAATCTAAAA